TTTTTTTTTTTTTTTTTTTTTGGTACCAGGGATCGAATTCAGGTCCTTGCACTTGCACAGCAGGTGGTAAAACCACTGAGCTAAATCCCTGGCTAGAGTACGGGTTCTTGAAGTAGGTATTGATGATCCTCTGGATTTCTGCTGGATCTGTTGTGACTTCACCTGTTTTGTTCTTAATTGCATGGATTTGAGCTTTTTCTTTCCTTTTTTTAGATACAGTTGGCTAAAGATTTATCGATTTTATTTATTCTTTTGAGAAACCAACTCTTTGATTCATTGATTTTTTTTTTTGTATCATTGTCTTAGTCTCCATTGCACTGATTTCTGCTCTGATCTTTATAATTTCCTCTCTGTACGAGCTCTGGGTTTGTCATGCTCTTCTTTTTCTAAGAGCTTGAGATTCAGCATTAGGTTGTTCATTTGAGCTCTCTCTGTTTTCCTAATATGGGAATTCACTGATATGAATTTCCCTCATAGAACTGCTTCCATTGTGTCCCATAGATTCCTGTGTGTTGTACTGGCATTATCATTTACTTGTAGATACTGTCTAATTTCTTTTCTAATTTCCTTTGTGACCCATTGGTTGTTCAGGAGAATGTTATTCAATTTCACGTAACCCTTTTTTATTATGAAAAGTTTAGTTACGGGGTATTTGAGAGCTTCAGAACACATTATAGGTATTTCATTATTTCTTATGGGAAAAATAGTCTTGATTTACAACCTACTTGAGTTACAACCAGTCCTTGTGAATGAATTGAGTTCATAAGTCAAGGGTCCACTGCATTAAGAAAAGTGGAGCAAATTCTAAATAAAGGTAACCCAATGAGACTGAGCTAATTGGGAACAGTTTTGGGAAGCTGACATCAAAAAGATAAGACATACGTTGTTTCACTTAGAAGTCTTTTTCCCCCCTAAATTTTCTAAGATCTCTTTCAGAGATCTCATATACTTGCCTGTGACCTGGAAAGCAAAGCATGGCTTGGGCTCCACTTTTAGGAAGTGTAGAGATGACTACTGGAAAGAACCAGATACTGCTGGGTGATCAGTGGGGGGCGTCTGAGGCCCTGGCTTTCCTGACAGGCAAGTCACCAGCCCAACTCAGCATCAGGCTTTGGCAGAAGGCCTCACCCCACTCCAAGAGGCCACTGGGATGCACTTTTCCTTCCAGCTTCTTTAAAGGCACCAGTGACTGGTTTTCTAAGCATGGGGAGACTAAAGCTTGACCAGAATCATAAAGAAGATAGATTCCTCTACAGAGTGGGGAGAAATGACTGGACTCTTGTTTGACCAGAGGAGATTATCAAGGAGCCACATAGGAAATGGGATGTCTGCCGGGAATTGCCTGAGTGGCAGCCAAACAACCAGGGGCCCAGGCTTTGAGGGGAGCTGAGTCCTCTTGCTGACTGTTAGGAGCTGAGTAATCTCAGGTCAGCTGCTGCCCTCTCTGAACCCCACTTAGCTCATCTGTGCAGTGAGTACAAATTGCTCCTGCCCCAGCTGTCCAGGTTGTAGGACAGAGTGGACAGAAAAAGTTTCACAAACAATTCCCATTAGAAATTGACAAGGAATTACAGTTATAGCAGCTCCAGTTAGAGTGAAGTATAATAGCTAAAGTTTTGAGTCCCTCCTTGGTGCCATGCTTTTCTAGCTGTGTGTTCCAAACCTATAATCATGTCCATTTTACATAGGTGGGGCTGAGAATCCCAGAAGTGAGTAATCCTCCAAAATCCATCAGCCACAGACTTTGGCAGAGTCTGGATTTGAATTCTGAGAACCTCTATAGTATCAGCCTGTCTCTACTGAAGAAGAAAGGGGCCAAATTGTACATTAAAATTTAGTCTAAAAAAGAAAAACAATGTCAGGGTTGAGAATTGCAAATCTGAGAGGGCTTCCAGGAGAGACTGTTAAAACTTTGTTTTATTTAGTTTTACAGTAACAGTGGAGCATTGCTCAGCTGTGGGCAGAGGTAGTAAGAAAGGAACTCAGACCCAGGTAGGCTGGAACCTTGCAGCCTGCTGTGTGCAGGGCTGGTGGGAACGGGCATCCTACGTCCCTTGTCCAAGGGCTGGCAGGGCCACATGGGCGCAGTACCACAGCACTGCCAAAGCTGGGTTTCCAAGAAGAGCTGGAAAGGCAGGTACGGGGCATGCTTGCTCCTCCAGCTCCACTTGGTTCCCATGTTGCAGTGACAGTAACAGCCAGGGAAGGAAAGGCTACAATATTTCCCTGGGGAATGTGGGAATGCAATAATGTCTGGGTGGCATTTTGAATAAACCTCTCTTCTCTTCTTGGAGCCATTGTTCCTTATTTCTGTCTCCTCTCATTTTTAACTCCTCCCTCTTGAGTTTCTTTCTCTATTTTGACTTTTCAAGCCTCCTTAGTTCACATGTGCAGTCTCTTCTTTCTCCTCCTGCCTGCTGCCTCCCCACTGCCCTGACACACTGTATCAGCGAATCCCTTAACAGTGCCATATCTAACTTTTTTATTCATTGCATGATTTATTTTTAGCCCAAAACAACTGCATCCTAAAAATGGAGCTCCTAATGAGCCAGAGGCTGGGCAGAGAGCTATGTAAGGTATCTGGGGCTGGGCCTCCAGCCTCCCAGCCTGGCTCGTACTCTATACGCAGGTCTGCATGAACCTCCATTGTGTCCTGAGCCCAAGATTACACAGTTTGCAGGACCCAAGGTGGTGAGGACAAATCTGCCTCTCTCTCCTTACTTGGCTCAACGAACCAACTAAGAGCTTTCCATCCTCTCTCCTGTGAATGCCATTTTAAGGAATAAGAAAAAAAAAAACCTATTCCCAAATGAAGAGAACTCATCTGCTTGTTTTGGGGGTCTATTTGCTCTCCTCTTGCAGGGCAGAAGAGGGGCTGAATTTCCCCACATATGATGGGAAAGACCGAGTGGTGAGTCTTTCAGAGAAGAACTTCAAGCAGATCTTGAAGAAATATGACTTGCTCTGCCTCTACTACCATGAGCCAGTGTCTTCAGACAAAGTCGCCCAAAAGCAGTTCCAGCTGAAAGAGATTGTGCTGGAGGTGAGTGAGCACCTGCCTAACCCAGTGTAAGGCTGGGTGCCTTTGGCCAGGGGTTGGGATTCCGAAACAAGGGCACAGGGGATGCATACTGAAGTGTGCTGCACTTCCGTCTCACGGTAAATTGAAGCTATTCTTGTTGCAAAGCCAGGACCAAGGAGGCAAGGGGTCACACTCCCGAGATGGAGGGGACTGGACATTGAGCACAGCAATGGGTCTGCTGTAAAGCCTTTCACATCACGCTTGGTTCTTCAAGAGCTCTTCGCCTCCCTGGTGTTTTCCTGAGAGTTTTCAAACTGGTGTTAAAACTACTGGTTGAAGCACAACTCAGTTATGAGTGGGTTTTTTCAGTGTGCCAATCCCCCACTCCTTGCTCCCCCTATCTGGTCTCCCCTTGATCCTGGAGAAATATGTCTTTTGACCTTGCCTGTCTTTCTGGGTCAGAAGAAGAGCATCCCTAAATGGTTTTTATCTCCCGTGATTTGTGTTCTTAGCAGCATTAGAGTGTAGATGTTTGATCTTCTGAGCTGCATATTCATTAAGAGGGATTTTTATTCCCTCAGAAAGTTCTTGGTGAGAGCTTAGGGCAGACACTGAAATCACTTCTTATTTTATCTGCATTGCATGGCCTGTTGGTCACCTGGCACAGAGGCCGTTTCTAATCCTTGGTGAGTGCTGCAGAAATGATCCCAGCAGCTCCTCCTAGACAGCTGGGACCACTTATACTTCAGGAGCTCCTCGGCTGCCAAGTGTCCTAGATGGCACTGGGGCTCTGCCTTGGCCCCCAGGCCTGGCCTGGGTACAAACCTGTGGAAGGGGATGTTTGAGAATTGTGTGGTTTATTGTCAGCACAGTCACAGAACTCAAGTTAACCAAATAGCTTGGCCTACAGAAGTACTGTAGAAAACGCTTGTGGATTTAAACTTGAAAAAAAAAAAAAGACTGTAATAAAATCTGGCAAATCCATCATGAATACATCAAAATAACTTTGATAATTTAAAAAGCACTTCAGAAAGTACCTCCTGATCCTAAGAGAGCTCTGATGTTTTAAAAATATCACCACTACCTTTCTATCTTCCCTTAGGCTCTATCTTCCCCAGGGGCTGAATGTAGTAGCTCAGTTCCCTCCTAGGGGTGCAAAGAGAAAGCAGGAATGCTCGTCAGGTCTTCATGCTATAGAAATGGGAAGCTCGCAGGGTGGAAAAGAACAGGACATACAGCAGGGCTGCTGCTGGGTCTGTGAAATCAGCATTTACATTATCATCTCCATCTGCCATATTCAATTACAAAGAGACTATGAAAAAGTTAATTGAAGGCACAAGGACTCTGCTGTGCATGCTCATCATGGTCCAGTTAGCCCAGAACTCAAAAAGAATGCCTATGTGTGGCCAGGATAAGCAATGACAGCCATTTCTGATTCCCTGTTACATTAAAGTGTGTGTGTGTGTGTGCGCACACACACACACGTGCATGTGTGTAAGTATACACTACTTTAAGTTATACCTCCCCAGCGACTGAGTTCTGGGTTCTTATGAAAAATCATGAGAAGGGATCTGCCAGGCTCTCTATTCTTCCAGATACTTTCGGTCCAACAGTGTCCCTTCTTGCATGGGAGCTAGTCCAGCAGAAACTCCTGAAGGGAAGTTGGGCACAGGAACTGGCCTGATGGATCTCAAGTTCCCCAAACAAGAGTGGGCATAATTAAGTCAAAAGGAACATAGAACTTGCCAGAATCTCTGGATTTAAGTTTTGGCTTTGCCTCTGCAAGACACATGATCCAGGACAGGTTACTTAATTTCTTGGAGTCTATTTTCTTATCTATAAATATAAGGAAATGATAATTATCATACAGGCTTGTGGGTGAGTTAATAACAATGAACATGAATGTAATGTTTGCTGTGTGTGGGGTTGGTTCAGAGTACTTTGTATGTGTTAATTCATTTAATCCTTACAGTAAGTCTATAAAGTGAATAGAGTTACTATTCTCATTTTATGGAGGCACAAAGAGGCAAAGTTCCCCAAACTCACAGAATTAGAGCAGGTGAAGGCACTCTCAGCCCCTATGTGATACTTCCTGGAGTCAGTGTGAGGATCTATAGGTATCTTGTTGAGGATTCTTTTAGGCATTTTCCTTAAACAGAGATTTTTAGCTCAGATCTGGGCCTCATGATGCCAGCTGGGCAGGATTAGAGCCCAGAAACACAGCCTAGAGTCCCTGCTCATGTGGACGTGCACAGCAGGGAGGGTCCTGGGCACCCTCCTGAGGTGGGAAAGGACACCACCTTTGTTGAGGTACCTGTGGGATGCAGGCTCTGCTCCTCAGAATCCAGGACAAAACTAGCTTCAGTAATCCCAGTGGTGAAGAGAGAGGGCTGATAGGAGCCTTTATGTTTTCTTCAATCCCAAACTTGTACTAAGAAGGAAATGTTTCCAGTTCCAAGGCTGTAGCTTTCCAGTGGATGGAAAGAGAAGAGGAACAGCTCTCAGTTGCCAAGTCAGTGTGGGCTCCACCATTGCACATGGCCGCCAAAGGGAGTCCAGAGGCTCTGCCTCCTGGTGGCATGGGAGGGTAAACTTCCATGGTTTTTGTTGTAACTCAGTGTGACCTAGTACACACAGGCACACACACACACACACTCATGCAAAACAAAACAACAGAAACACATGCTTCTTTGGGATGTTACTTAACATAACTTGGGGAATACTTGGATTTTTAAAAAATTCTTTTCAATTTTTAGTCTATTTTGTTCCATTCTGTTCCACTTAAAAACAGTATCCCAACTTATTGCATTGGTTTTGTTCTGCTGTCCCCAGGCTGAAACACCTGTGGAACATTGGGTTTAAAACGTAGCGATTAGAGGTTCATGACTCACCACATAGAGGCCATCTCATTCTGATAAAATCCAGAGGCACTTTTGCCAGACATGTACATTTTGGGTGCTCTCCTAAGAATGGCAAGGAAAAGACTCAGAAACAATCCCAGATGGTGAGGGGGTCACTGCCTGATGAGGGGTCTTCAAAATGCTGCTCAGTTACCTGTATATCTGCTGCTTACTCTATTTTGGTGCCTGGGGTGGCAGCCGTGGATACAGGGCAAATGAGACTCAGCAGGTCATCCCTATTATAGAAGAGAACATACAAACAAAAGCTGTGGTGTACAGGTCACTGTAACCACAGAGCAACTGGCAGTCATCTGCCCTTATCAGTGAGAATACAGCCCTCGACCCTCATTAGATGCCCCAGATTTCAGATAGTACCTAGCCCTGTATGGACTGTTTTGTCCATGGGTTTCTATATACTTATGATACTGTTAAATTGATACATTAGGCACACTAAGACAGAAACAATACTAGCTAAAAATAAAATGAACAATTATAGTAATGCATGGTAATGAAAGTTATGTGAATGTGGTCTCTCAAAATATTGTGTTGTACGGAACTTACTCTTTTTCTTTTTTCCTTATTAAGCCAAGAACTTTCATCTTATCACTCAAAGAAGTTCTTTTTAGCTGCACTTCGGCATATCTAAATTGGTAACATCTCTACTCTTACACTTTGGGTCCATTATAAATAAATTAAGGGTCTCTTGAGTGCAAGCACAGTGGTTTCAATACTACAACAGTGGGTCTTCTAACTAAGCAACTAATGGGCAGGTAATATATACAGCACAAACACACTGAACAAAGGGATGATTCTTGCATCCTTAGTAGGACGGAACAGAATGGCACAAGATTTTACCATGTTACTCAGAATAGCACACAATTTAAAACATGAATTTTCTTATTTCTGGACTTTTTAATGTAATGATTTTGGACCTCAGTTGAGGTCCCTGGGTAACTGAGACCAGAGATAACTGGAATTCTAGAATAAGAAAACATGCTTAAGAGGGAACTACCATACAAAGTTTTCTGGCAGTGAAGAGGAAAGAGGGCAGAGCACGACAGGGAAGAAGAGATGGTTCATGAAATGAGTAGGAATTTACCAGGCAAAATAGCAAGGAGAGGGCAGGGAATAGAGACAGTGAAGATTCTGATAGCTCTTAAATATCTTTCCGTTGGCTAGCTGTCTCCTAAAATTTGTCCACAAGGACCTTGCTTGTTTAGGATAAGGTTTTTAGGCTAAGCTTGTTTAGGATAAGCCCTACTTAAGTTCCTCTGGGAGAGACAACACTTGAGGATGTTCCCAACCATCTACACCTCCCATGACTGAATCTGAATTTTATTTTTAAGAATAAAGGTTGACAGGAGGAGAAGCACAAAGAGAATATAAGGTCATTAAAAAGTTAATGGGAAAAGAACCTATAAATTGTCACCAGAAAGCACCAAACTCAAATCCTGCTTTCTAATCTGATGAGGATCTAGTTTCTGAGGGCCCCAGTACATGGTTTATAGTTCTATATAAATGTTTACATGCTTGTTTAATGAGTAAATGAGGGATTAGAGCTCAAAAGAACCTTGGAAATCATCTACATTGTTCTAAACAACTCATTTCATAGATGTGACCTTGATTTAAATAGCTGATAGGCCTAATTCTTGGTTGGGCCCTGTTCATTAACAAAATGAAAGAGTAAGTTCGGTCTCACCACAATGGCCAGCTCCTGTTACCATTAAAGACTGAGACACGCACAGGAAATGGGCAGCAAATTTGGTTCCTCTTGCACCTACGTTTTCTGCTTCTTTCTCCTTGAAACTGTTGTGCAAGGTGATGTTCCTATCATGTTCTGTAAATATTGCCAGAGAGTCCCTGAACATGGCCAGTCTCCACTCAGAATGAAATGCTTGGGAGATGCTGTGTTATGACCTGGGCTTCCAAATCAGATAGACTCACATTCAATTCCCAAGACATAGCCTCTGCGTTCGGATCCTTATCTGTAGTTATGAAGAATCAGTGAAGTCATGTGGCAAGAGCATAGATTCTGCTACACAGAAAATACTTACCAAATGCTTGCTCCTTTCAGTCAGGATTAAACCCAACCCAGCCTAACTCTGTCAGTGGGAATGTGGT